CTTCAGCTATAGGCAGTATGAGAACTGTCACTCTTGTGCTCATGTGTAACCTGTCTTGAACGTTGCCTCCGCAGGTTGACGGCAGCCGGACCCGACCCCGACCCCCCAGCGACCCCAGCACCAGGTGGCCCCATGTGGACGACCCCACCACCAGAGAGCCTCAGCTTGATGACTGCGAGCGGATGGGGACTCTGTTTGGGATGCTCAACAAGTGTCTGCGGGGGGGTGGCTTTGCCAGATGTACTTTGGGGACAAGATAGTGGAGCCGGTGGTGATTGTCTTCTTCTGGCTGTTGCTCTGGTTCCTGGGGATCCAGGCCCTGGGACTGGTGGGAACTCTGTGCATCATCATCATCTACATCCAGAAGTAATGAGAGCTGGCGGTCAGAGCGGCGCCGGCTGTTTTCTTTGGTTAATGCTTACACACGCGGGACTAATGCTGCGGGATGTTTGGATTGGAGTCTGCAGTGGATCTGTGCTTTTTTTTTTTGGGGGGGGGGGGTATCTAGAAATGGTTTGAAGCTCGCTCAGTTGGAGAAACTCCGAAGCTGGGTCCAGTGTTCAGGATGGGACTGGTGCTCCTCCTGCCTCAGCAGCAGGAGTGGGGCTGTCCTGTTGCTGTTAGAACTTAATGCGGTTGGACATGGAGACATTTTGGGAAGTGGCTTGTTTCTGTTTGACTTAGAAGCTACATAGTGAAGGCCAGGATGAAACACAACTGCACACATCCCTGTGCAGTGTTTGACTGATAAAGAAACTAACATGCAGTATGTTAATGTGACGTTCAAGTGCAGCAGTGATATGAGTCCAGTAATCAATCATAAGAAGCAGTGTCTGAATGTAGAGCTGACATACTGCACTTGTGATGTTCTTGTGAAAGCTTGCAGTAAAATGTTTACTTTGTGATTGATACTAGCCATGCACAATGAACTGATGGCTGATAAAAATGTAATTATTGTTACTGTTCCAACTATGAAAGACCTTTTTCACAGCAGCCATTTTGACAAACAATAGGTAGTAAGTAAGCTTGGTATGTTGCTATGCTAAATGGAACTAAATGTTAAGCCCCTGGGGTTGCCAAACGTACCGGTGCGTTTTTGCAATGTTTCTATCAATATCTGTGCAGTCTGTATTCCTGTGAGAGCGAACACCATTCACACAACGTGCTAGGAGTATTCCTTACTGGTGGGTTCATGTGTCCATCTACATTTTGTGTGAAACTGACTTCACTAATTTATCATACATTTATATTCCATTTATTCATATACTCCACTGTTTGTGACCCTAAGACTTTCATAAACCCATTTCAAGCACCAAAACAACTGGTCCACATTAGTAAAGGTGTGTTTTCACAAGACATTGGAAGAATTTCAAAATGCTGATATATAGGCCACACTGTGTATATTCTGAAAGTTTTCTTACACCTCTTTAAAATCAAGAAGGCCTCACAACCCCCTCTAAAGCTTTGGCTACCCTTAGTTCAAAAACTAGGGGTCAGATGATGTGTTTACACAGTGCTTTAGGACAGTTGGTGCTCATTATACAGCTGCGATGATTATGCACATTCTGATATCAAAGTCCCTTTAAAGGGGAATTTAAGAAGATATGTAAACATCAAGAAAATGCCATTAGACCCCAAAGGGATCATTAGTATTATTTGTAACTCCTCTGTTTACCCTACTATTTCATGTCAGATGGCTGCTGTGAAAAAGGTCTATTACATCCAGTAATGCAGAGGCTTTGTACAGTAGCTGCGGAGAGGGTGGTTTTGAATGGGAATCAGTTCTAGACAAGTAAGCCTCTCTCCTGCGCTCTGCGTCTTTGTGGCCATGCTTGCCTGATTCACTTCCTCTCTCTACCAGATAACAGGTGATTATCAGTTATTGGTGCAGGTGGAAGCGCTCTTCACTTCAGGGCATCTGACAGAAAAATGTGTGTAATATTAATTACTTCTACACACACAAAGATGTGACCCATTCTGCACTGGAAACTGTGTTCAGATACAGTAGTGTTCTTGTGCCGTCAAAACTCAACCTTTCTACTGGATGCAAACGTACAGTCTTTCAGTTTGTCTGCTACTGTGGCGAGGACATGGGAACTGGAGTGTTCATGCACAGAGCTGCTCAGTATACTGATCAATATGAGACATTGTTTTTTGCTTATATCATGAAATGTTTGTCGTAACCTATTAAACTGTTGTAGTTGAGTGCAATTAACGCAAAAATCGTTTTATTCATCGTATCTGTCATACTGAAAATCCACTGAGGTTTCTATATCTTGTGAAAGCCTACTCAGGCTCAGGCGTTGTTAGTCTTTAAATAAGGAATATGTACGCAAGGGCTGCAACAGCGATTCTTTTCAGTATCAGTTTAACACTTTCTCTATTCATTGATTCAAGCTCAAATGTCTTGTTTTCTCCACAACCCAAAGATATTCACTTTACTGTCACAGAGGACTAGAGAAAGCAGAAATATTCACATCTGAGAAGCTGAAATCAGATAATTTAGACATTTTTCTTACTAACTCAAAAGCATGAATTCATTATCAGAACAGTTAGCGATTCATTTAATTTAACAATTGAGCAGATTCATTTAACAGTCCTTAATGAAGTATGAAGTCTCCTTTGAATCACCCAAAACTTCTTGAGTGCAGGAAGTAGTGGATGCTGTACAGTAACCTGACAGCGCCGGATGGTGTGTTACACAGAACCATCTGGGACGTCGTCATTGCTAACTGTTAGGAAAAGGACAGGCACTATAGAAAAATACTCAGCGTGGATACTGGACTGGATGAACCATCTGTCTATCACAGACAAACTTCAACCAATCAGATCAGTGAACCATATAACATAGTCAACTCTTACTGGAGCCAGTCGGGAGAAGAGAGTAAACCTCTCTTCCATTGAGAAAAGCCTTCAGCCTTCAGCTAGCAGCATCTATGCTAACAGCCACTTCTCACACACACCTAGCGATAACCACACCTGCAGCTCCTGCAGTAGCTGCCAGTAGTTCCTCATAGGACGCTGACTGTGGTTGGACACAAGTGCAGAACTTCAAGCCTGGCCAGATGATCTTATGAGTGCAGCTGCCTTGCTAGGTTACCTGTAGAGGAAACAACAAAGGCTAACAGTCAACGTTTTGCAGACAGTGGCAGAATAAACATATACAGGATGTTCACCATTGACATATCTTGATCATCCAAAACTGTCCAATCTAATGCAGAATAGTTGCATAGGAATATAAGTAAATCTTGGGAGATGTGTCTGAAAAGGGAGGTACAAAAGGTAAAAGAGACAATATGTAACAGTATGGGAGATTCTAGGGGAGGGTTATTGTTTGATTTGACCTTGAATTGTTCTGGTAGTCTCAGGTAGCTTTGAACATATTTAACTCTTGTGTTGTTATTGTACATTCTGCTGACAGACTAGTGGAATGTGCACATTAACTGACCACACACTGTTGTAGAGCAGTGGTTCCCTACCTTGGGGTCAGGACCCCCACTAGGAGTCGCAAAAGCTTCACAGGGGGTTGTGAGGTCTTCTTGATTTTAGAAAGGGTGTAAGAAAACTTTACATTAAGTATACACAGTATGGCCTATAGCTCAGCATGTGGTTCATTTCTGTGAAGAAAATGGATTTATAAAGTTTAGATTATTATTGAAGATGTGAACATGAGCTATATTCACAGAGCCTTCACTATCTGATAAACAGCCGCGTCCTGCATTGGAAAACAACCAAAGAGCTAATAGAACAATGGCCAAGCATGAGACAGAACAAAACACTGAATTTGTCTAAAACAAAATAAAGTAGTTAAGATTGTTAAAAATAGAAAAAAAGATCTATTTATGTATAAAAAGCTCCATAAAATAATAGGAAAACTCATCTATGCTCAATATTTAATAATATGCTTTAAATTCATCCAAATCTCTGGTTTTACACAAATTTCAGGTTCATTGTACAGTTTATCTGTTTTTCTTATTTCTATTTTTCTTGTTTGTTATACATTGAATATGCGATATCCATTAAATACATCAGTTTACTCAATGATAGAGGGGCTCCCTTAAGGAAAAAGAAGGAAAAGCAGAGGAACAGAACTGCAGTCGTTACACTGGTTTTAACGTTTACTACTGAGTATAAATGGTTTCCAGGGGAAACATCACTGATGATGACGACTTACTGTAGCCATGCTGTATTTGTCCTTTTTTTTAAAAAAAACTACTCAGTTCTTCTGAACAGAAGTTATTGTTTATAAGGTGTTTGCACTGAGAGTTTTATGCATACCTACAGGAGAACTATTGAATCAGAATGTATTGCAATGTCTATGATTAAAGTGAGCGTTCCTAACTCTGTGCTTTGGCTCTCATTGACTTTTACAGCAATGTCTGCAGAAACTGACACGCGTGAGGTCATTTTTCACAGTGTGCACTGTTGCTAAGATTTAACACCATACCAGTGACCACAAAGGAAATCACAAATGCTTCACATCACTTCCAACCTTTCTCCATTCAACATTATTAAATTATAGCACAGGGTTGTATGACATTCAGATTGTAGTTCCCTTTATGCTAATCGTAAAACAAAAAAATGTAAACAAAACATATTTAAAATAAATGTTATTAAGAAAAAAATACTACCTTGCACGATGAAGTCCTGAGGAAGAACTTCACAGTCTCACAGCCTGAGGGAAGAGTGTGGTGGCACAGCAGCAGAAGCTTCTATACCTCTTCCCAGCTGCGGCTTGGGCGTTCCCGTCATGACACAAGAACGCCTATTGGGCGTTCCTGGTAGCGTTTCATCGACCAATCGCAACCCAGTC